CAAATCTCTCCGCTCCCAAGGCCTCGCCCAGCCACAGCCTCCCTGGCCACCCCGGGATCCTATAATCCCTGGAGAGAGGCAGGGTGTGGTGGAGTGAGCAGCCCCCAGCCTTGCAGAGCAGCTGTGTGATGTGGGTACTCTCTGAGCCTCCGGGTGAGGGTCATGACCTCCAAGCAGGGGTCCCTGGGAAGATTCAATGAGATCAAGCCAGCAAATGTGGTTTCTAACGTTCCTTTCCCCTCGGCCCCAGCGGCACCACATCTAACACCCGACTACTGCAGTTATCTCCTAATGATAGCAAGCCCTTACTGAGCACCAGCTGTATACACGGTGATTTGTTCAGTCTTCACACAATCCTATGAGGTACTATGTCATCATCACACCCTTCCCCTCCCCCTTCCCCCACCACTTTTACAGGCAAGAAAACGGAGGCAAAGTAATTTGTTGAAGGTTATAAAGCAGGGCCAGGATTCGAACGCAGGCTGTCCAACTCCAGAATCCGTGGTCTTACCCTGCGTGCTCTCTATCCCCCTTCTCCGATGGAGATTCCTGTAGTCGTCATGTGCTTAGCACTTTGCTGGGCACATGGGAACTCCTTGGTGAGCAACTGTTGGTTGAACAATTTCTTTGTCACAGAGGAAACCTTTTGAGATAGAAAAAAAAATCCCCATACAACCTGGGACCGGTAGCAAGTGTCCAGTTTTCACATGTTTCACCAAGTGTGACCCCGGTAGTTTTCATGGTGTACTTGGTCTGAGAATGGGGTCAAAGGGCACGGCATCGAAGGGGTCTGACTTTCAGGCAGATGTTGGTGGCTGCCAAAGCCTTGAAGGGAACAGGCTGGGGCCGGGGTTTAATGGGGTCCAAGACTGACACGTGTGTACAGGGCTAGTGATGGCAATTTAGTGACTGTCCCACCGCCTGGGTATAAGTTTTAGATACAAGTGACTTTCTACTTGAGAAAGCGTTCTCCTTCCGTAGTTTAGATGTTTTCAATTTTCTCCCAGTGCATTGAGGCTAATTCCCATATGTTAACACTTTAAAATTATGTCACAACCAACAAACATGATATGAATCGAGAAACCCGTATGATTCATGAGAGATTTGGTTTTTTGACGTTTGTTGACGTTTGGGGATGTGCAGGAGAAACTAGAGGAGAAGTGTTTCAAGGTGAGCTTCTGAGAGAGGATTTGATCAATTATTTATCCCGCGATTAACATCTGTGGTGGTGTCCTGTGTGCCAGGCACTGTGCTAGGCAGCGAGTTTACAAGGCGGAGAAACACTGGTGCTGCCCCTTGAGAATCCCACCTTCTAATGGGAAAGACACCGTGTAAACAGATAATTAGCAAAGGTCCTATTTACAATAGAGGTGAGAAGTACCAGCCAAATGCTTGCACTTTTATGTGTTTTTGTTGTTGTTAATTTATTGCCTTTCCTTTGGGGTGAGGGGGGAGGGAGGGCCTATTTACTCATCCACCCATGGAAGCCTGACCATCTTGTCTATTTTGAAACTGCTTCATTGACTCAAAATCCCTTGGCAAAGGTGAAATGGAAGAAAAACAGACCTTGGATAGAAAGCCACCCGGGGCGGGAAGAACAGTGGTTGGGGTTGAGTTGCAGACAACAGAGTCCACTTTCACTATCTAAGTGGAAAGTGGTCAGTTACCTGGTATTAGGTCGCTTGCATCTCAGTGGATCCATGTGTGGGCCAGGCTTCCGGGAGTAACTCCCAGCCCCCGGGATTTCCTCGCCTCCGCCATGACTGAGCAGGACATCACAGCCCCCGACACCCAGAGCCTCTGCGTGCTCCACACCCGCACAGGGCAGCCTGCCCGAAGGCTGTGCCTCCATTTAACTTAGTTCTCAATTCAGGCCCCACCCCCTTCTTTTGGTTAATCCTCACCCAAGGATATTTTCCCATTGCATTTTAGAGCAGAAGGGAGGGAGAGAGACAGAGACATCGGTCGGTTGCCTCTCTTTTGTGCCTTGACCGGAATCGAACCCGGGACCCTTTAGTCCATGAGCCGATGCTCTATCCACTGAGCCAAACCGGCGAGGGCCAGGTCCCTTTTAAGTACATCTGATTGGCAGACTCTAAATCACAGGTGGAACCTGAGCTGCAAGGGAGCCTGGAAACGCAGTTTCTGGTTTGTGGTCTGCAGCCCAGGAAGGCACGTTAGGAGGGACGTTGTTGGAGCCAGTCCCTGGTGTCCATTGCAGCTCATTAAAGCACTCCCAGGAGATCCTCTCAAGACACTGAGACTCTCCCTCCACAGACACCCTCAGACCTGGGCCTCGATCTCTGCTCACCCCCTGCACAAGTCATCTGGTTTTTCCGCCAGGTGGTCTCTCAGTCCATGCCTAGGGCTCGCTTTGGCGACAATGTTTTTAGCCCAGATTCCACCCAGTAGTGAAAGTGTCATGGACATAGAGGAGAAGGTTGCTGGGTCTTCCTGGCCCACGGGCTGTGGAATTGCAGCTGGCATAAATGGGGGGAGCCGATGCTGCTAGCCTGTGGTGCCCTTAGAAACACAGAAGACGCCTTTGGGCCAAAGACACCCAAAGCAAGACCAGCAAAGCATGGGTTGCATTTCAGCCCCCTTGACCAGAGGTCTCTGTGCGGTGTACGGCCTGCACAGCTGCACACGGCAGCCCTGGAAGCTGGGTTCTGTCCTCCCCCACCACAGCGGGAGAGGGGGAGGGGGGGAATTTGAAGGTGTCAACACGGGGGCCGTCTGGTGAGCGGTGCTGTGCGGAGGGCTCACGCTGCCTCTCTCTCCTCTCCCCACAGAGATCCCCCAGTGCGCTGGCTGCAACCAGCACATCCTGGACAAGTTCATCCTGAAGGTCCTGGACAGACACTGGCACAGCTCCTGCCTCAAGTGTGCAGACTGCCAGATGCAGCTGGCTGACAGGTGCTTCTCCAGGGCTGGGAGCGTCTACTGCAAGGAGGACTTCTTCAAGTAAGTCAGAACCGGGGCGCAGCCTCCCTGAGCTGGCCTGGTCTGTGTCTGCCTCGCGCTGTGTAGTCGGTGGAGGGGGGCAGGGTGGGAAGGGCAGTGGGTCCATCCTGGGGGTGTATGAACCCTCCTGGTGAGAGGCTGCTCCTCCACGGTCCCCCTTTGGGTCACCAGCCCCATCGCTGCCGGAAACCCCAGGGTCCCCACCGCACTTGAGCTGCCCGGGGAGCGTGCACCAGGGTGGCTGACAGAGGGCTCCTGCAGATCCTCAAACGCTCTCTCTGTCCGGGGAGTTGGTGCTTCAGGGCTCTTGGCTGTATCATTCCTGCGGCTTTCAGAGCAGGTGCGTTGAGAGCCCCGATTCTAGATGCGGCTGCTTCACGGGCCTCGGAGGCCTAGAGGAGTTGTCTCTGTCCGGCCCCCGCTGGGCTCCTTTGGAAGAGGCAGTTTCATGTGATGGTTAAGAGCCCAGACCCTGCCTGGGTTGAACCCACTTATTAGTTGTGTGCTTTCGGGCAAGTTGCTTCACTTCTCTGCGCCTCAGTTTGCTTACCGGGAAAGTGGGGCTGATGCTAATAGTCCTGCCTCTTAGAGTTGTTCTTCAGCTTTGAACGAGTCCGTCTGGGTGAAGCCTTGGGACAGTGTCTGGCCCCTGTGTGAGCTCTTAAGGCTGCCTTGGTTTTTCATTCTGATGTTGGGTCCATCAGGAAAATTCCTGTTGGAGCTTTGGGTCAGGGTGGAGGGGACCTCCTAGAATTATTCCGTGGCATTTAGGCTGGAACTTCTGCCCCAGGATCTAGTACCTGAGGCATTAGGCTGGTGGCTCAGCGGATATGGACCAGCTGATAACAGCAAACAAGAACAGGAGGCGGGGATTGTCCATCAGTGACATTGGGCCCAGTGTGGGGGGCCCGTGGACGGGACTGGGACTGTGAGGAGGCGCGCCAGGCGAGCGAACCCCGGAGGGGTGGTGTGCATCCTTCAGAGATTGTGCGTTCTGGGGACAGGGAGGGAAACGCCGGTTCCGGGAACAGAACATGATTTCTCCCAAATCTTTAACTGTGGGGAGTGAGTCATTTGAATTTCCGAGGGTCCCAATGATTTTTGTGCAATATGAGTTGGAAAGTACATTAAAGATCCGCTTGATAACTACTACTGGGGCTGCCTGCGTGGCCTGTGTTCAGAAGGCAGCTCTCATTGTCTATTAGCATCACACTGTGGTCAGATACGCACTGCTGTCTCCGTGTGTGTGTGTGTGTGTGTGTGTGTGTGTGTGTGTGTCTGAGTGTGGGGGCAGTAGCTGGCACACCCTACAGATCCTCCAGCTGAGAGATGGGCCTCTGGTTCTTCATCTAAGCCTTTCGTGTGTCCTTCCAGCCCCCAACCTTGTCTTCCTTCTCCTTCCCCGCCTGTGGCCCTCGCCTTGCTTCCTTTGTTCTGGCATTTACGCCGTTCCTTCCCCTCTACCCACACCCTGTCTCCGTGGGCAGCAAGCATCTGCCTGTCTTCTTCCCTCAGTGATGTCCTGGCCAAGCACATGGCTGTTCTTGCAGACGCCTGATGGGGTGGATTTCATCATGTGGTGTGTACATGTGTGTCATGTACCTGTGAGCACCTGTGAACAAGAACGTGTGTGAGGGAGGATCTAATTGAGGGAGCAGGGGATGGGTGAGTTGTCCCCGCTCCCATAGCCAGGGCATCCTCCAGTTTTTCCCTTTCCCTGCGGAAAGCCCAGTGAGCTGAGGGAGGCAAGAGGCCCTGCCACCTCCCTGTTCATCTGGGGACAGGTTGGCACTGAGGTGCCCTGGCTCAGACCTCTGGCCGGTCCAGCTGGGCAGGGCAGGGCAGGGCAGGGCAGGGAAGGGCAGCCCGTGGGGTGCAGGCAAAGCCTGCCAGGGACACAGAACCAGAGCTCTGTCCATAGAGAAGCTCTTTTGAGCCCCAGAATCACCCTGGGGCACCATCTGATGTTTCGACCTTGACTGGCTGGTTCCGGGTTTGGGAAAGGGCGGTAGCAGCTGGGGGCAGTTTTGGGTTTGGGAGAAGTAGTGATGAGGAGAGAGGGTCCCCCTAGACCAGGGGTGGGCAAACTTTTTGACTCGAGGGCCACAATGGGTTCTTAAACTGGACCGGAGGGCCGGAACAAAAGCATGGATGGAGTGTTTGTGTGAACTAATATAAATTCAAAGTAAACATCATTACATAAAAGGGTACGGTCTTTTTT